GAAAATGACTGCCAATATGTATGTCGAAGCAATTACAAATAAGTCGAAATAAGTCGAAATAAGTCGAAATAAGTCGAAATAAGTCGAAATAAGTCGAAATAAGTCGAAATAGTTTTGGGCACATGTGTGACTTCAAGTAGTGTTCGATTAGTTGCCAATTTTATCGATTTTTCATATCATGTGACTGAATTCGACGATTAGCCAATCAAACTAAAGAAATCAACACGGATTAATCCGATTAGACGGAATATCTCGGAGTTGAACTAGTTGATAATTAAATCGAATAGTTGGTTTAAATTTTTCTAAACGATTAGTTGGAAAGTTGTCAGCTAGTTAATTTTCAACTAAACGATTCGGATCACTAGCCTACAAGGGATTTAAAAAAAGATAAAACGTATCGGTATTACCGTAACATTATAAACTATACCAAATATTTACATACTTACATACACTGGTACCAATCAAGTTCGTTGACCCTGGTTGTTTAGGAAAATCTAAAATGCTTAAAGAATACTAGAATACCAAAGAATAAGAAGTATCATAAGTATCGTGGGAATTCTTACATAATTAAAGGGACAATATGCGGAATAAAAATTAAAAAGTTTACGGGTCGTGCAGGATATTAACGATGATCCGAATGTGGATCACTTCTCAATAAGTAAAAGAAACAAATATGTACATATGTACATACGCACGATAATAAGAATCAAGGTGTCTGATTCGGGGTAAGGTCTTAAAAAACTCTAGACTTTAAATAGGTAAAAATGTATACATCTATCTGTACCTTCTGTATCTTCTGTATCTGTAGAGATCATGGCACTATTAAGAGTTTATTCTCTTGAAAGGATTTGCATTTATTAATTTATTTAATGTTAATATATATGTATCAGGTATATTAGTGTACTCAGATCTTGTTAAAAAAGGAGGTTTGATCGTTTTTATCGTTTTTTATCGCTTTGATCATTTTTGATCGGTTTGATCGGGTGATGAAAGGCACCAATCATTATTAGCGCTCTAACTAATGTAAGGTCATAATGGTAACAAGTTTAATACCGATTTAATACCGATTTTTCTTCTTTTATTCATCTATATTCAGAAAATTCATTCAAAAAATCAAAATCAATCCATTCATCACTTATTATTATAATCATTAATAATAATAATAATAGTTAATAATTGTTTTCTAATCATGAATTTTATTGAATTTTATTGAATTTTCATTTGATTCGATATATTCGATCCAAAATGTTCTCTTGATTTACTATATTTATAATGTTAATCAATTAAAGTAATGTAAGTAAATGATAGTTTATTTGTTATATTTATAATGTTAATCAATTAAAGTCAATTAAAGTGAATGATGGTTTATTTGTTTTTATTACGTAGTCGGAGTTTTCATATTCCGCTATTAATCAAGATCAGCAAGCACGAGTTAAAAAGTAATAAAAAAAAAGTTTCATAATCAAATTTCTCGGCAGATTTATATGTTATATAATTCCTTATCAGGGCTATCACTATAGGACTATAACTATATTTAGGCATATATAGCATATTGACTCATATAACTTGGAAGTCTACGGATGAAACTTGAATATATCCATGTGAAAAAAATAAATCTTACTGTTAAAAAATATCTTAAACAGTTTAATAAATCTACGTACATCATATCAAAGATGTATAATATGCTAAAAAAAATAACACCATGATTAATTTTTTTTGAGTTGCATTTGGTTTAAAGTTAGAGTTAAAATTTAGGTTAAGAAAATATATGTGAATTTTATACTGTATAATAAAACAGAGGTTCCAAACATTTGTTAAGCTTTATTTTAAAACAAATAAAATTTATAAATAAAAATTATATTTACTATATTTACTAAATTTACTGAATTTACAAGGCCTATTTAACATTCTTACTAATTCTTACAAATTATACGTATACATATAATTAATACGTATGCATTAGTAATATGTATATTAATTTTAATTCTAAAAAAAAAAAGTTTAGCATTAACTTTTATTATCGGATTCAGAATAACCGTTTGAAACTGCACAAGGTTTAGCTAATTTATGTGATAGCTATAGTACGACCGTTTATACCATTTCACTATCTGATGGTCTATGATGTGGAACCATCGGAAATATATGTGAAACCGGTCAGTTAGAACGATGTAAAAAAATGATGTAATCACGTTTTAGTTAAATTATCATAGTCATTTTAGGATATTTTTTCTTTATTTATTTCCATTGTTCGATCACATAATATTTATTTTTGTGAAATTATACTTGATATGTCATATTTTACATATCGATAATTTATATTGTTTTATGTACACATATATATACATATATATACATATATATACTCTATACATACTCTATACATACTCTATACATGCGGAATCTTCTTAATTCAGTGTAGCAACAAATATTTTCTTGCTTTTGATTTGTGTACGTATGTTTATAATTTTTTTTGTTGAACGATTTGTTTTTCAAAGATGCGCCAGTCTAAAATCCATTATGTATTGCAGTGTTATTACCCCTTCTATTAAAAGTCGCGTGCAAGATTTTTCTGCCTATCGATGTATGGTCGCATTTATTTTTATATGCACCATCACGTTCACATCGCTTTAAAATAAATAAATAAAAATTTCCTATTTACCTTGGCGTTTGTGGATAAATATAAATCCTCAACTCCCCCTCTGTCGTCTCAAAAAAAAATTTTTTTTCGTCCTACATTTTTTTTTTTATATATATATCTATATATACCCTTCTTTTTTTTTGAAAAAAAAAGGACAAAAAAAAAAGGAAAGGTTATTAGAAAAACCAAATTCCTGAATAAATATAATAATATTCGTTCTTTTTTTTTCAAAACTTTTAAACTCGATTAACCTCGATTAGGATGTTATTTAACGGACTACTGGTAGCCTTTAATCGAGCAGTTGGAACATATGTTCCTCAAATCTCTGGAAAGGCGGTGACTGGTAACGACGAAACTGATAGCCTTATGGACGAAAAAAGTTCTTTATATTGCGCATCATCTTATGAAAAACGTAAAGTTCCAAAAATCATAAAGAGCAGTAGCGGATTTTTAAAATCACCAATGAAACGTAGTTGGAATTCTTCTGTACCAAATGTTTCTTCTACACCCATTGTTGCTCCTTTAACTCCAACGCCTGCTCCTCCGTTGTGGAAAGAACAAGTTGACCCAAATATTAAAGCTGAATTGACACAAGCCGAAATTCATCGACAAGAGATAATATTTGAAATTATTCGTACTGAAAAGGCTTTTGTCGAAGATATGAAATATTTAATAGATGTATGTATACTGTATATATCAATATACACTGTATATTCGGTTATTACATTTTTACATTTTTTTTACATTTTTGATATATATTTGAAAATCAATTAACATGATCATGTGATCTCCTATTAGCATTACGTAAATAAGTTCCAAGATTCTGGCATTCGTTTACCTTCTAGTCTTGAACAAACATTCTCAATATTGCCTGATATTCTGTTACTGCATCTTAACGTCTCTCTGGTTGGTATCTTTTTGTATTCATCTTTTTATGTATGTACTTATTTTATTAATACTAAACACAATATAAATACATATTATCTTCTTTTTTATGATAGCAACTTCGCTGCACGCAAGCAATAATGTATCCCGTTGTACCATCGATAACGCACATACTTCGTGACTTGTCCAAACAATTCCAAATTTACGAACCATATCTTATTTATTATAAGACGGCAATTTCTGAAATAGCAAATGCTCGTAAAAAGAACAATAAATTAGGTCAACTAGTAAAGTCTTTGGAATCAAATTTATTACCAGGAAGATACTTAACTTTGGAAAGTTTGCTCACAAAACCATTCCAAAGGTTATGCAAATATCCTCTCTTAGTTATGGTATATATTGTTATTCTTTAAATTATATATATATATATTTTATACTTGTTACACGTTCGATCCTGACTTTGTATTTTTCTATACGTAGACTTTATTAAGGGCCACCGTGCCAGATCATAAAGATCACCCATCGCTTGTCGACTTACATGATCAAATGGACTGTGCTCTTAAGGAACTTCAAGAACGTAAATCAAGATATGAACGTTTAAAGGAAAATGATGAATTTTCGGGCAGAGTTTCGGTAGGTTTTAAAAATATTTTTTATGTGCAAACTATAAATAATAAATGATCCATGTCATATTAATTATATTACCCCTTTATTTATTATAGACACTAAGTCCTTTCAGCAAATTATATTCGACTTATCGTTACAAGCGCTCGGTCACAATGCCATTCACGAGATGACTTGGCCCATATTCATTTCTTTAATTTTCAAAAAAAAATTGATTTTTTTTTTGATTCATGGAAAAAGAAATTGGTTTTTTTGTAGAGCAAAATTGTACAGTTTTTTTTTTTTGTAAATGAACTTTCTTGTTTAATGGGCTGGGATCTTTTTTTTCTTAATCGAGTTGTTCGGGGTAAAAAAAAAAAGAAAAAGAAAAAAAAAAAAAAAAAAGGTAACAAGCACCTGGAGTGTATATTAATTCATGATTTTTTTGTAACACCCTTTATACTTCATATATTACATTCCTTATATTTTTTGTATTATAGATTTATTCTTTGCTCACTTTTATGATTTTGAGTGTTTCTGAAAAGTATTAAATAACCTTTGTATTAAAGTACACATTTTTAATAGAGCTTTTTCTTTTCAAATTATATTAGTTATTTTTAATTTTATCTAATGTTTTTTTTAAACACATACTACACTTAGATGATTTTACTCTTTATTCACTTTATTCACTCTTTTACACTTTACAACACATTAACAATACCTTTAATAGTCTTTTTTTTGTTTTTTTTTTTTCTCCTACACATTATTTTATATTACTTCATAAAAATTATAAAAAAAAGAAACAAAAAAAATTTTTTTTATAATTTTTGTACACCATTATTATTCATTAATACCATCATAGACTACTACTCTCTTTAAACTGATAAGATACTTTCTGATTTTTATGATAATGTTATTTCACAATACATGGATTGTGTCATGTTTTTGTGTTAAATCAATAAATAAATCAATAAATAAATCAATAAATAAATCAATAAATAAATAAATAAATTAAAAATTACATATTGTACATATGCTAAGCAGATGATTTACAAGCTGCTGTAATTCGTACTTGAGAATTTTTTAGTATTTGAATATCTGTATATTTTTGTGTATAGTTTGATTCAACCAAAGGGATGTAATTTTTAATATTTGTTTAGAATAACACAGCATAATTTTTTATTCATAATAAATATTTTATGCATGTCTTTTATTTTTTATTTTTTTTTAAAAAAAAAACAAACCTTTTGATCTCTCAAATTCGTTAAAGAAGTAGATTAATGCTCCATTTGTATTTCATGCGACAACCGTGATCTTAATTATTCAGCCAATTATCTAATCATAACTTATCGTTATTGGAAATTTCAAAAACGTACATACGTACGTACGAAAAAAAAGGTTGTATGCTGGTTTATCCTTGCAGATCAATTATTACATATATTTGAACTCCAATGAACTCTTAACTTTAATGTTGATACAGCATAATGTAGTGTCACTCAAAGTCTTTTTCAATGTTCAGCCACACACGTCTCGATATTTTTTTTTTGCCAAAATTCGTATTTACAATTTCAAAATTTTTTTTGAGTGCATCGCATAAAGTATGCAGATAGGAATTTCTCTGAATTTAATGCTGTTTCACAGTTCTGTTTTTAGAGAAGGGATTTAAAACGCGTTCCACGTCCTGATTAAGTTTCTATTCTGATGATTCTGATTATTCTGATTAAATGTTCAAAAAAGATAATAGAACGCCAATTGATTTTTTTATGCAAAGATGTTTCAAACTTTATTCTTTCGAGATTATTCGAAAAATGAGAAAATTTCTAACCATTATTGATTTGGTATTGTTCCGTTCCCTTAATTGTAAATGTGAACGAAATTCACATTTGTATGTAAGAGTTAAACCAAAAAACTCTAAAGATAGTAACAAACATTTTTTTTTCAACTGTAAAAAAAACTTTGTGAATAACTAAAAAAAGAATCGAATGTTTGAAAGTAAAAAATACATATTTAATCAATAAAAAATGAGCATACACCTTGGAATTATATACAGCATACATCTTCGAAATTATATGCATACATTAGCATTACATTGTTTTTTTTACAAAACATAACCTTTACAAATTCAGACTTTTACTGTAACTTTTTTTATGTTGAAGAAAAAACGTCCTTTATTAATTTGTTATGTATGTACATACGGTTTTTTTCGGTAAATTTAAATGATTTTTTTTTTTCATCTAAAACTTGTGTTATCGCACATTTATGCATAAATGCATGAATGTCCAATAACTGCATTATTAAACAACGAAAGAATAAGTAATTTATCTAAATCAGTTTAATCAGCTGCTTTCTACTGGCAGAGGGCATATCTCCTTTATAATGCGATTTTCGATTTTAATGCGATTTTAATGCGATTCATAACTTCCCGCGATCAGATTATAAACAATAATTAGATAAAATGGTTAATAATATATCCTCATTTAGTCTTTCGAACTTCAATGACATTGCATGCGTTTTGTTACATTATAAGTATACTGCATCTTATTCATTCTTTTAAATCAAAATTTCTAATCTTCCAAGAATCATTCTTCCAATATTTATGTATTCTATGTACGATTTTGGTTAAATTGTCATGATGCACTTCCTTTATTCATTGTACATTTTCTTCATTTCTTTTTAAATTTTTAAAATATAATTTATGCCGTGTTTTTTTTTTATCAATCAATTGATTTGATAGGACCTTCAAACAAAAAAAAATATTCATTACATATAATGAATTAAGTTAATGCTTAATTACTTCATTTGTTAATGCTTCATTACTTCATTTTATTAATCATAATACCAGGAACGGAGTGATGCAATCACGAAGTGTATGGTTTATACGCTGTTTGGAGTGGGATTTGTCCGCAAAATC